CTTTTACAAGAACAGATTTTGTCTGTCTTCATTTCGTAGAACAAAAAAAAGAGACAGAGAGAGAAATAAACATTCTTAGAAGTGAATTAAATTAAAAATAAATAGAAAATTTAAAGTGGATTTATGGAGTGATGAAGAAAAAAAAAGAACATGTCGTGTCATGATTATATTTCTTTGATGGATGAATTGAAAATAAAAATCTTTAACATTTAAAAATAAAATCAGATGTGTCTCGACCGGGAAAAAGATGAATTTATTCGTTTTTCTACAATATTGTTTTGTTCTTTTTATTAATCAATTCTTGAAAAACAAAATGTCAATCTTTCTTTTCAATCTCAACGATTGACACTCGGCGGAAGTGAAAGGTTAGATTTTATCGAACGACTTGAGTAAAACCTTGAATAAAAAATATATATACTATTATTTTAAATCATCAAATAACAAGAGTGACATTTCAAGACTAATTCTTTTAATGTCTCACATCAATTGAAAAATTATTTATCGTTATTGTTTTTTTCTTGTTCTCTTGCAGTCACACATGTAATTGTATATTTGATCTTGTCACAACATATTTTCAAACACCTTTATTCAATTAAGCTCACGGCTTTGCTTATAGTCGTCGGCTTTAGTTATTTAGTAGTTGAATTGAAATACTGAGGAATAAAAAAAAAGGGTGATACATAAAATAACACCTTATGGTCGATCATTCGACCGTAATAGTCAATGTGTGACATTAACTACAAATATAGGCGATCAGTAGACATTAAAAGAAAAAAAAATAAAATACAGGTGACTTATGACCTCGATTGCAATCACCTGTTCTATAAATATCAATTTAATATTGAGCAAAATCAATATCATCAAAGACACAATATATGAAAAAAAAACTAGAAACATAATGTATGTCTATCTCATGATCATCATCCATTGAACATTTGTGTAAGCACGAGCGAGTCTATCGATCGATCGATCGATTATTATTATTATTATTATTAAAACAAGCATCTTCAAAGTGTCAATCCGATCTGTATTGTGCATACACGTTGTGTAAAGAAACATGATGATGTCGATAATGATGAGAAAATTATTTTCTTTCAAATAAAAGGAAAAAAACACACACACACACACATAGAAGAGATGTAACGTTGATTTTTCTGATTTGCATATCATAAACATATGTAATGAAGAGAACAAGAGAAAGAGCGTTAAGAAGAACAAGTATTGATTGACTGATCAATCAATTTATATTAATGATGATGATATATATATATATACAGTTTTGTCACATGATTATTACATGAAGAAAAAAAAGAACGGAAATAGAAAACGTAATTTTCAAAGAAATTGAATTTTTAAATTTTTCTTTTTTTTTTTCTTGTGTTATTAAATTGAAACTGCCAATCGTTTTGTTCTATCTTTTTTGTTTTTTTTTACACCAATCGAGTGAATATATATGTGTGTTTGATGAAGGAGAAAAGGAGAGAATGTGCGTAAAATGTCAATTATCTGCTCTTTCTCTTTCTCTTTTTTTTTCTCTTTTATATGTCGTTGCAAATGAAAGAAATCCCACTTGTCATAGTAGAGAATAAAAGAAAAAAAAAGAACAATAATAATACAAGAAGTAAGAGTAAGAAGAAAAAAAAAAGACAATTTTATGTTGTAAATCCACTATTCTTTAAAATATTCTATTTGATTGACCGATTCATTTTCTATTTAACAAAAAAACAAAAAGAAAAATAACAATGACAAAACAACGACGTTCATTTTTCGTCGATGATATCTTACATATGGTGATGCCAATTAATAAAACTATTCATTGTTCAAATGATAATAATGATTTAAAACGTAAACAATCAATAAATTCAGAAGATGGTAATAGAGATGAACATGAACAAAAATCAAATAAAAAATTTCGATTTAAAAATTATGAAAATAATAATAATAATAATAATGATGATGATGATAGTAAAAAAGAAGATGACAATGACGAATCAAATTATTCTCATATAGTTGATATGATAAGAAATGGTAATACGGCTGAAGAAGAATCTTGTTTAAGTGACAATAGTAATAACGTTGATAACAACAGTGGTAAGTTAAACAATATAATAATCAATGCAAAAGTCAAACAAAGAATTATTTTCAGTCGAATTTCATTTTTTGTTCATACCTTGGCCAACTTACTAGAAAACATTCAACTGTCGAACATCATTCGACTTCATATTATGCCTACGAAAGTAGGTCTCAGTGAGAATAAGACAATTCTAAAAAAAAAATACAAAATAAAGAATCGCAATCTGAAATTTTGCCTATAGGTATGTTTGATAATCGTTAGATAGACTTGAAAGTTTCAACAACAAAGAACATGTCTTTCTTCAGATACTCGATAACCATAAAAATAGCTGTTTATCATAAGCAGACACAATAATGAAGTCGACTTCCAAATCAAACTTCTCGACTAAGACATGTTCATTTTTGTTGCAACTTTTGGAACTATCTAATTACTATCACACATGCGTATAGGCAAAATTTTCAGATTGAAACACTTTTTCTTTTCGGTAAGCTTGTTTTGATCACATCGAAATTTACTATCTCACAGCTAATAATATGAATTCGAATGATGTCAGACAGTTGAGTATGTTCTCTCATTAATATTTTTTCTAATTCGGTACATTCTTAATTAAGTCCTTATTTGAGAACTTGTTAAGTTAAGAAGAATGAAAAAAAAACGAAGCCTGATGAATAAGTAGCGACATCAATAGCGAACATAACAATTAGATCGATGTTTGCTAGACATCTTCCAGCATATTCTCGATTTTAACTATTATCCTCATAAAATTTCATTGAGAGATTTTCGAATAACACTATTAGTAGATATTTGTGTGTATTTTGTTATTGATTTTTTATTCTAAATAGATGATGAACTATGTGCATCAAGTTCTTATTTAACAGCAATTAATTTACGACAAAATAAAAAACAACGTAAACCACGAACAGCTTTTACTGATGCTCAATTAAATACATTAGAGAAAAGTTTTGAACGACAAAAATATTTAAGTGTACAAGAACGTTTAGAACTTGCTAATCGTCTTCATTTATCGGATACACAAGTAAAAACATGGTATCAAAATCGAAGGTTAGTTTTCTATGTCTTTGTAATTGATTTTATCATGTTAATATAATTAGAACAAAATGGAAACGACAAGCATGTCTTGGTCTTGAATTATTTACTGGTAATACATTACAACGATGGATAGAACGACAACCACATTTATTTGCTGCTGCCGCTGCTGCTGCTGCCTATCGATCATCATCAGATGCAACTAATCCTATCGGTCAATTTGGTCAAACTTTTTTAAATGACAGCAAATTAACAATAGCTACTAATTCTAATAATCATAGATTTTCTCCTATGAGTCTAAATTTACATCGTCAAGAATAAATAATATATATATACATATACATGAACAAAACTATAATTATATTATTGGAAGAATTTGACAGAAGTTCTTTGAACATTTGATTTTATACGTAAAATTTTTTGTCTGTGCCATATCTATTTGGATTGATGTTTCTTTTTAATCAAATATGATTTGTTTTTTTTTGCTTTAAACATATTTCATGTAAAGATTTATTAAACTGTGTGTGTACAAAAAGAAAATACATTTAATTTTTTCAAGTGTAAGGATTTTATTTGAAAAATTTCAAACATTTTATCTTCACATAAAATATTTCTATAAATTTTGAATTATTTTCGATTTTATTTTTGATTAAAGACTATCAGACGATCTATTCTTTCAAACTAATTATATTTTATAGAAACAAAATTCGTTTAGATTTTGTCATTACAATGATAACTTTCGTTTGAAGATACACCCTTTCGAAGATTTTTGAAGAACGAATCATTAGAAAAATGTGAAACTTTCAGGAAAAATAGGTTTCGAAGAGCAGAACAAAAGTTGTACTAGACTCAAAGGTCTTGAATATTGTTTTCTATGAAATATTAGACTCACAATGCGTTACAATTTTTACCTATAGTGGACCCATTTGGAGTCAGGTTTTCTACTAGGATAAATTTTAATGTAAAGAAAAGTTTCCGCTCAATTTCTTTTACTGTATTGGAGAAATGGAGGAGACATAGTACTTTTTGTATAAGATTTGACTTCATGAAAAAATAAAAAAGCAAATTGCTTGATTGGATATCTCGAACTGAAGTTGAACAATGTCTTACGCTTGTCAACATGCATCTCTAACATGATCATGCGTTAAAACTATAGATAAAGGGAAGGTCTCGAAATTGTTCCTCTTCGAGTTCAAAACATCCTTGAAAGAATTGTTGTTTTCAAATATATAGAGAACACTTCAAAGTGTATATATATATATCAATGACAAAAGCAGAAAAAAACGAAAAAATTCTTTAATATTCAATATAAAATACAAATCAATATATTCATCAACTGTAAATTTCACATAATTTGTTTTTTTAACGTGAAATTTTACTTTTAACATATGAGTCAACAAAGCAGTTATATGTTTACATGTAGTCAATCGATATTTCGATAATTTAACTTATTCTCGTAGATTTCAACACAAAAAAAACAAGGATACGTAGATGCCTTATTAGAAATCTCTATTATTGGAAGAAACTGCGAGAAAAAAATAAAGAAAAATATGTTTCAACACGTTATTTTGACAAGCATGTATGGTGTTTCTCTGCTATATTCGACTATCAATGTTTAAGCCGAAGAAACCATTATACACATATGAAGATATCTATTGATTCATTCAATCTTTATTCGAATATCAGAATAAATCTTATTGTTTTCGTAAGAAAAACGAGATATGATATAGTTCGAACATTATTGACAAGAAACATCATGCTGTATTCTGATAATAAAAATAAACAATTAAAAACCTAGTAGAGTTATCAAAAGTGACATTTGTTTTGTTTTCATGTATCAATAATGTTGCCGAGCTGCAATGATTTCTGGTTCTAAGTATCATTTGTGATCTTTGAGACGAATGAGTAGACGATAAGGTATAACGGATGAACGTCGATTCGTAAAATGTTCTATAGATTCATTTGGGATAATGTTACAGATAGATTTATCACCCCATCCGACTGTTTCGCCTTGAACTTTAAATGTATTAGGCTTTTGTTTGCATTGAAGTACTATTTGTACATTATAATGTTTACCTGTTTTTGGTGATTGAAATGAATTCATCGGACTGTAAACCTGAAGACTCGCATAGTGGATTGATGGAGACGTATAAATATGTACTTTGCCTGGAATATGCCCAGGCCGAATAGCTAATTTTGATCCATCAAGCAAAAAATCACCAGGTAAGAGAAACTGACGATGACTCAGTATTGATTGAGCTGCAAGCTGAGATGTACCATGGTAGACAACAATCCATGCATTCCATGGATCGTCGTCACGAAATGGATCCACACCAAGTCCAAAACCAGCCCAGCCTCGAGGTACTACGTAGTCTGCGTCTGCCACTTGTAATTTATTGGGCAGGTCATGTGAATAGCACGATTGACAATAACAGCGATCATGTTCGTTGTTAAAGAATGAAATAGACCATTTCAGACTATTGACATATTCTTTGCATTCAGCGAAATAAGGGCAAGAAATAACTTCTCTTGGACAAGCAGATAGGGCTCCAGGTTGAAGACGTACTGATCCATCGTTATCATTTAGAGCAAGTGATGATAGGCGTTCTCTTGATTGGTCAAGACTTGATTGGTTTTGATTCTTTTGGCTCTGATTTAACGAAGTGGAAGGAGATATTGTTTTATTTTTTATATCAATGTCTGTTTGGTTCGAAGAATTCGAAAGATTGAACGTAGTATTCATATCTCTTTTGCATTCAAAGCATGTGAGTGAAAGTGTAGTATTTAATGGATTCTTCCAGAAATTGGATTGTTTGCAGTGTGGACAACGCTTATATGCAAAACTCTGTTTGCATGACCAACATGGAACTGCAGTACCTTCAATATAATCGCAATTTTTCCATACTTGGCCTGTATGGCAATGAGGACAACGAATGTACTGATGCATATTAGTACATGAATGACATATAAGTCGTATTCCTTGAATAGATTCCGTCGTAGGATAAAAATTCGACACATAACAGTATATACAGGAAACATATTGATAAGGTTGTTTACATGCAACACAGTTATATACGAGACCTTGTTCGCAATTTGCAGCCGGCCACATATTTACGGCTTGACAATATGGACAACATACAAATTGGAAAGGTTTTGAACAGTTACAGCAATTAGTTAATCTTCCTTCAGCTGATGTGTGAGGATTTGACCAAATATTAGACGAGGAGCAATGAGGACAGAATATTTGCTGCAATTGAGTTGAACACGAAGTACAATTGAAAAATAAACCTTGCTTATATTCATTATTATTCCATGTATTAGTCATTTGGCAAGCTGGACAAACGAGTGTTGTTGTCATTATTAAGTCGAGTCTATGCAATAGAAATAATTATTATTTGTAAATTAACTACTAAATGTTCTTCATCATTCAAATATAGATTCAAAACTTAAACTGAAGTATAATTTGCCAAAACTCAACAGTTAAACTAATCTACTCTTCTTTGATGCTACTGTATTGGCTTATAAATTCGATTTGAATATTTTCGTAGTTTCCGTTCATTATCATTATATTTCAAGATCTTTCTATTCAAGTCTTCCATGTTTCATTGATAAATGTATTTTTTCAAATTTTTCGTATTTTTTCGAGTTATAGATACTGCTGCTTGCTGTTGAAGAAATCACTTCTTTACTTACCTGTTTTATTAGAGTGCAAATAATGTATGTGTATTTATTATGTGACGTTAAATAGAAACGAAAAACTACCATGATTTTTGGATGAAATAAGCGTGCATACTCTTGTTTTTTTTTCACTTCTTTCAAATAAACGTATATTTTGACTCGTTGCAATTGAAACGAATTGCCTTAAAGCATGCCTGTTGTTGACCTTCATCATTGTCGGAAGAAGAAGAGCAACAAAAGTCTGCGAATCGCGTAGCTTTCTGTTACTTGAATAATAATATTTTCCTCTCAAATCTTGCTATATTTATTGTGAATCATGCTGGCAAAGATGGAGATGTTAAAAAAAAACGTAATTTAATCGCCAAATTTTAAACATTCATGTATTTTCTTACATTATCATCTATGATAGTAGGGCTAGATCACAAAATTACAACTATGTTGTATTCAATCTTTTGATAATCCAAGAATATACATACAATGAGTTTGTTTTGTAAAAAGAATCGAACCAATGTACGTCATCATTATGTAGCTATCCATGTTTTGAAAAACGTTCTGAACAGTTGTCTGATAATAATTGACTGTCTCAAATCTAAGCAGTTACCTCTAAATTTTGATCATATCGAATTGAAAAGTTCATGTAACATTGTGAACAAGGGCGACATGAGTAATGAATCCTAATGTAGATGCATAGAAATTTTTGAAATTTTTATAGTACTTTAAAGTTCTGGGAAGTCTGTTGATACTGTGAAGTCCGAAGTTTTTCTTTTATTAGCAATTATCCACAGAAAATCACGGATACCACATTGAGTAGTTCTTGAGCAGTCCTAGAGTAGTATGCAATAACTGAACACTGTTTCTGGAAACCATGATACATCGTTTTTATTCCTCTACTGAATGACTGAAAAAAAAAGTAAGTTTAACATATCGACTCACGAATTTCAAGTTCATTTTCTGTTCATATTTTACTGAGAAAATCTTGCTACATGTTCTAGGACAATACTTGGGTGTGGATGTGGGCGTGGATGTGAGCATAGGTATAGGTGTTGGGTGAGGGTGTGTTGGTGTGGATGTGGGTAGGGAGTCTGGGCGTGGATGTGGCTAGAGAGTATGAGTGTTGATGCGCATCCTCTATTCACCATTACCAATACTCACATCCACAACTGGCACTCTCACTCACACCTACAAACATTCACAACCCACATCTACATCCATCCCACAGCCACACGCCCCATCCATACACTACACCTGCATTTATAATCACACCCAAGTCCATAACCACTCACACTCATACTTTCATCTTAATGTGCGAATTGCCTAAATGTAAAATCTTAAGACTTTTAAGGAAAATTTCACTGTTTGATAATAGTGGATCACACATCTACGTTTAAGAGAGACAAATTAAAACATACTTAATAGTCAAAAACTTTTAGACAGCCATATAATCTCTTATTAGGATTGGTTCCACAATCGTGTTTTATTTTAGATAATACCAGTCATTTATGATCTGATCGACTAACTCTTAGTCACAAATAACACTCAAGTTCAACTAATAAGTTTAGCTAGGTAAATGCTTATGTAGACGACACTTTCTCTTTTACTATTTTATTTAGCGTGAAATAATATTTTGAAAATGTACGGATAACCATGAAAAAATTAACCAAACCAGAGTTAACAAACATTACAGGAAATTCACCAAATTTAAAGCTTTAGCTTTGACGCAACTCTAGATGTGCATGGCATATGAGGGTGTTCAATGATGTTATGAAGTTTGTCACAAAAAGAAAACGAAATGACAGAAATACTTCTGATCAGTTTATAGCATTCCACAAATTTCAGCAATATTTCTGTAGTATGTTGTAGCAATTTTTTATAGATGTTATGCAAAGTTTGAAATCATTCCATAATATGTTCCGAAACGTATTAAAATGCGTTTTCAATTATTTCCTATTCGATGAAGTTCTGTTTTAAACTTAAATTTCTCGATATTCATATAGTATGTGTTGCAATCTTTGTTAGTTCTTATGACGAAAATTATTCACTTCCATTAATATTATTTGTCTTGGACGAAATTGAGAAAGATCGTGCAACTCAGCGTATTTTTCCGAACGGGAAAATTATAAAAGGATCAAGCAAATCATTTTAGACCTTTCGACAAGTCTTTTTCTCCATTATCTTGTTATGTTGCGATACTTTGTATCAAATTTATTCCTGAATAAAGATATGACATGAGAATTTTATTAGTGTGATCTGTACACCAAAATGAAATATAACTTACACGGTATATATTTACCCAGTAATAAGTTTAATACGAAGTTTCACATCATAACAAGATGAAGAGGGGAAAGATTTTTTTTCGAGAATGTACATCTTACAAAGGAACCTATGCATGAAATTTTTCATATGTAGAATTCCTAAGGACGAGTCAAAGAAACGATTTTAAAATAAGATTGTCAATATAAAACCTGAAGTTGATATACGCTTGCTTTTTATCCATCTATTCAAAACTTGATGTACTACCTAACCCGGTCAGACAAAATTTTTCAAAAACGCGTTTAAACAGTATACTTTTCACGATCGTTTTTGAATGCCACTTGAGGTTCCCGATTGCTACCCAAAAACGTACATCATGAAAACGCAAAAAAATTTAACACGCGCTATTTTTACGCCACCAAAACGAAACTTTTTCTGGCCATGTAAACGTATAAAAAAAACGCCTCATTCACGACAACCTTTCCGAAACGTTAATGGATCACAATCGGGAACCGCAACTGCGAACCAAACACGTTTCGATAAAACAGGCGTCAAAACGCCCACTTTCTGAATCGAGAAAATGCTCAGCGTTTCAACGCTGATGAAACTTAAATGTGTACCCGTCTTGATTTTCCACGCGTTTCTCCGTAGCTGTCCGCAACAGTGACTGTCTAACAGCAACCACTAGTCGAAGCTATCACAGATCGAGCATTACGGCGACCAGGAACGGCCGTTTACGACGCCTTATACAGCCGTATTTCGATGAACTGTATTAGGGCCGTATCCAGCTGTGACGTAAACGGCGTAATACGCCTACCGTTCACGACCATAATTCCAACCAAACGCCGAACCATGACCGACGAAGACGGCCGTTTGCGACAGCGTGCACGACCGTATTCTGCCGTGCCGTATACGGCATCAACGACACCACACAATACAAAAAAAGCAACGGTATCTTTTCCGACAACTTTTGAGCCTTATTGGAAGCATAAGTAACGGTCACGTTCGGGTCGATTATAGGGTTCTTGGGGACGCTCTATCGATTGATGGATATATGTGTGGGTCCCCTCCTGGCGCTTCACCGTGAAATAGAATGCTGGATTTTGATTGGTCGATAAAATGGACCAATCAGATTTCAGCAGGCCTTTTCTCGCTTATTATACGGACATGTGGTACACATGTTCGGACCAATCCTAGGGTTCTTGGGGGCGCTCTATCGATTGATTGATATATGTGTGGTCGTCTCCTGGCCCTTGAACACGATATAGAATTCGAGGATTCAATCGGTGAAATGAAGTTGAGCAGATACATTGCCCCGGTGGATCTTTCCACTTTTTTCGGTTATGTTGGCATCATGCTTTAGTCCAATCGAGCGTTTGTTATGAATGCTGTGAAGCTTCCATTCGTCGGATTCTTTGAGTTTTTGTGTAACTGTGAGTGGGTGGGTGTGTGTTTGGTTTTGAATTGGCTTTTTCTATTTACACATATTCACACCGACATTGGACCCACACGCACACCCACTCACACCTTAAAAACGCATAATATTTTGCACTTTTAAATACATCAATATTCCATCAGCGTTTAATCTATAGGAATTTATTGGTTTAGCGCGTGTAAGCGCACTTAAATAATGCTGATATCATATTTTAAGCGTGCAAACATTTAAACATATAGAGAAATAATCGAAATGAAAATTTTTGTCTTGAAAATGTATAGGGTTTTTTAATTTTTTTGAGTTTTCAAGGTATGTTTTTGCATATAGAAAAAGGAAAAAAAATTGGCAGATTAACACGCTAAAAAATATTATTCTATGTAAATTTTAACGTCTATAATTCGACGTTCCGAACATGGAAAGAAAATCGCTAATGGAAAGCGCCTGAAACTATGGAATTTCTATATGAAAAGCGCATCCTCAACAAAATAAGCGTTAAAACGCATTGAGTGTAGCTTTTTCAATCGTTTATGAGGATACATAATACGGCTGTAGATATTTTAACAGTTTTCATTTACCTAAAAATAAAATCGTTGACGTTTACATGACCCGTTTTTTAAAAACGCCTATAAATTCTCACTAATATAGTTTTTAGGTGTTTAAACGCGTTTTTGAGAAATTTTGTTTAACCGCGTTGGGTGGCTATGCTGGGTGATGGATTGGGAATTTAGATATAGCTGACAGTGGGTAGTAGAGATGTGGACTGGATATGAGGTGTTAAGCCAGTGTGAATGATTGATGTGATTTTGTGTGTCGATGGCTACTGTGTATATGTAGGCTTAGGCTGTACTATCGTTCAGCTGTATGGGTGTAAATTTTTGTGGATAAGTATGGGTGGTGTCTGTAGTAATTTTGTGTGAGGATGTCGGTGCTTGGATATGTATGAGTAGAAATGTGGGAGTTTATTGAATTAGTGAACACGAGGAACACACGAGCAG